GGGTTTAATCACAGCAGAGATTGGCAGACAAGGGCTGTCATTATATTGTATACAGAAGAGCTGTTGATAGAAGTGATTATGGGACTCAATGACAGTAAACACAACGTGATGCCTTGTTTCTTCATTTGCTCTGTTAGGTCAGATGGAGAGCGCCTTTGGGAAATATTTTAAATCTGAATTTGTTCTCTTCTTGTGGTATCACAATTACATCCTCAATACTTTTGTATTCAACTGATGACACTCAAAAGATTCAGACTTCTAAAACATTGTTTTCAAGGTCAAAGAAAATTGGAGGCAATCATTCTTTATTCCATTTATAAGACCTGAGTAACTTGTCTTGGTAGAGCTAGTACTAAAAGTGCCTTTTCATAGACAGATAGTTAGAAAGCCATACAGAATTCATTTTTTACTGTCAAAACCAGAATTATTTGCAAGCCATAGTTACATACAACCTTGTAGGGTGACACCTCAGTTAACTGTTAAATCACTTAAAAGATTATCTTGTCTTTCACTTATATGAATTCAGCAGCACAAGCTCTTTAAAATTCTTTCTCTAAAGAAATTCTGTTAGGAGCATTATATTTCTTTTTCAGTCTTATAAAGGAATCGACCCCATATTTTAGCATCATATTTTTTTAAAAACCACTTTGGGTTATTCTCTTAAAAGTTTAATTGAAACTGAAGGAAATAAATATGAATGGTTTGATTTTTTATAGGATTAGATGACCCAAGGAGTTTCTTCTCATCTGTATGGCATCTAGGTAAACCACTCTTGGTAGTAGGTGTTGTTACATACCATTCATGAAGTCATGTAGCTGACCCTCTACTGAGTTTTCAGAGACTGTAAATTTCATTGTAGGGAATTGCCCACCTTTTTCCTCTGGAGCAGCTGGTCAATTTGAACTGCCTGCATTTGGGTTGGCAGTACAACTTCATCCTAATGAGGCCACCAGTGTTCTTTCCTTCTCTGTGAGTCAACTAACACTCAAATATGCAAAGACTAGGATATAAAGCACAAATGCCCAGATTATTTTTTCACTCACTTTTCTCCGTGTATCTAAATTCACATAAACTGATAGTATTTTCACATGTACCTTGTGGCATGTCCCAGAGGAACATATTAATACAAGGCGGGAACAATTCATTGTAGCATTAAAAATAGTCGGTAGTCACAGCTTAGTTGTAGTGAAGGAAATTGCTGAAGCATAGTTCAGGGAATTTTAAAAGACTGATGCTAATAGATAGCAGAGAGTGAACACATGCTGGATTCTGAAATGAAAGGGAATAGTGGACAAAGGAAGACAATAGAAATAATAACTGCCACTCACTGGGTTCTTATTATGCAACAAAACTATATAGAGTGCCTTACTTAAAAAGAGCCTTAACTACAGGAAAAGCTTCCATTTAACAAGAATTTCATACGTTTCACTTTTTTTATTCCTTACAGATTTTGTGTTTTGTCTTATTATTTACCCAATTTTATGAATAAAGAAACCTGAAAAGAGAGTTTCAAGTTTCTCAGGTTTATGATTTTGAAAATGGTAACTTATATATAAAAATCCAAGATAACTTTGAGTTCAGGCATTGTTTTAAAATATCCCCATCATATTCCCATCTTGCTACTAATCTTTCACTCCATCTTAGAACAAGGTGTTTCATTCATCTCATTTAAAGATGTGCAGACAAAGATAGAAATTTTAACTCATACAGGATTACAAAGAATAGTAGTATCAATATCTAAAATTATTTTCGTTTTTTATGTTTGCACATAAACTTTCTATTATATGACTCTGCCTTGTGGCAGAACAGTGTTTTTTGGTCTAGGTATTAAATAATTCAGCTATCCTTTTAACAAATATTTGTTGGACACTTGGTACAATTCTTTCTCTGTTATGGGGATAATCTTGTGAACCATAAAGCCAAGTTTCTATTCTTAAAGTGTCTCCATTCTAGTCGGGTAAGGTTGACATAAAGAAATAGATAGTAAATGTATGGTAAGTATTAGCTACTGCTATGAAGGAAAATTTAAGGTTGAAAGAGATTAGAAAAAGCTGGGGTAAAGTTATCGATTTCATAAGATGGTCACATGCAAAGAATTACAGAACTGTCACTAGTAACTTTATGTTTCATCATTTCTGTCACAAATATCTTGACTCTTTGGTTATACAATATTGAAACTCAACTTGTATTCCTTAAAGACTTTTTCATTTCACTGGAAAAATAATTTTATCCTAGTTTTACTTCGTAGTCCTATTTTAATAATTATTTGAAGAAACAAAAATGAGTAATTGTCTCCTTTCTGTATATTTCTACAATATGCCCAATTGAATAAAATGATTAAATATTTGGACTTCTTTGAAGCACATAACTTGCCATCAATTAAGTATAAGGGTCTTCTCCCTGCTCATAACACGATGTGGGATATTAGTTCTTAGCAGTAATCTCATAATGTCAGGAATGATATCAAGAACTCATTGACTGATTTTAATTGAAAATACTTATGTTATAGAATATATGATGATGAGCTGTATCTTGTTTATGCACTTCTTTAACAAGCTGAAAGCCTTCTTTGAAGTAATAATTAAAAATAAACAGGCACTAACTTACTGTTGGCTTCTAATGGCCAGCAACAAGGTTGATTCCTTGCATGAATAATTTACAGATTGAATGCTAAGTAAATCAGCACTGAAATTATCTTAAAATAACAAAAAAATAGTAGTTTCAATCTATAGAGCACTAGTTTATATGTAATTTTACTTTTTTTGTATATTCTTTTGTGCTTATGTAACTTAGTAAGTAGATAACAAATATGGTCAATTGGATCTTTACCTCAAACAAAAATGTGCCAAAGTCAGTTTTTGGAGTTAACTCTGAGTTAATCATCCTTAGGAATGATATTCAGTCATTCAATCAACATTTATTAAGAAGTTTCCTTAGACTAGATCTTTTCCTGTGTGCTTTGGGAAATAATAGGGGGAATAGAGACAGTCTCTTCCCCCAAAAGACTTTATTACTGTGTCTTTGGCAAAACAGTTTATTCTGCTCCTGTCTGTTTTCTATATTGTATCACAATTTATTTAATCACTCATTGGATTTAGAAGTCATGTTAAATTCTTCTTCATAAAAAGCCTGCTTTGGACACCAGTCATTATAAGTCTTTGTTCTTCTGATTATTTCTTGTTTATTTATTGTTATTTGAGTAAAAGTTTATGGCGTAAATTCACTTTTCAATGGCTCAGCCATTCACACACATTTTGTTTCTTCACACGTATTATATGTATATGTATAAACATCTTGATTGGTATTTTTTATTAATTTCTACAAGTAGGAAAAATAAGTTGTTATTGTTGTTATGTGCTGTTGAGTTGCCTTCAACTCTTAGCAACACTATGTACAGCAACTCTGAGGCCTGTCCTGGGCCACTTTTGCTGATTCTAACATATTAACCCCCATTACTATGTCAATCCATCTCATCTAGGGTCTTCCCCTCCTGCACTATTCCTCCACCCTTCCAAACATGATGTCCTTTTCCAAGGACTGGTCCCTCCTGGCCACATGCCCAAAGTATGTGAGACAGAGCTTCAGAATCATAGCCTCCAAAGAGAAACTTTATTTCATCCTTTCCAGGACAGACCTGTTTGTTCTCTTAGTGGTCCATGGTATTTTCAAGACTCTTCCCCAACACCACAAGTCAAAGGCATCAATTCTTTTGTCATCCCTAATCAAAGGCCAAAAGTTTTATTTTTTGAATGATTTTGCCAAAGATTGATAGCAAAGGTAAGATTATTTTCCATCACCCCTGACATTATGAGAAGCCCTGCTCTTACCCTTTCTACTGACCAGTATTCAGAAGATACAAAGTGCCCCTAAGTGTATGTTGTCTTTGGTCATATAAAAACTTTCAAAATGTCTAAGCAGTGAAAGAGTTTTTCCTTTTCAAGAATAATTTCTTGAAATTACCTCACTCACTCAGTGCCTTTGAGTTGGAAACCAATCATAACTGGCCTCTCAGTGGGTTTCTGAGGCCACCGATCGGATGGGAGTTTTCCCCTGAGGAGACGATGGATTTTCCAGCTGCTCACAAGGCACAGGTTTTGCGGTAGCAGCATAATTACCCTCACACTATGCTGCCCCGTTATTGAAACCAACTAGTACTGTTAAAAAGTGTGCATTGGATATGGGTAATATGTCTACAACAAAGATCATTTAAACAGAGATTTTCTTTCCTTTTCTTTGTCTCAAACACACTAAGTTTAAAGCTAATAACAGATTATGGGGCGGGGGGAGGGAATGGTATCCTTTGAGGAGTTCATTTACCTGAAAGTGAACATTACAATAGACCATGAGCAGATTGAAAGAGTTAATATTGAATTAAAAGCAAATGCTAGAGAACTAGTTCTGCCCAGTTGTACCTCAAAGATGCTGCAAGTTAGCTCCCAGACAGTAAAGCAGTAAAGCAGATATTATAATAAAGCAAATATTGAAACAAAGCAATCATGAAGCGAGTGTGTGCTTTGGCAAAATAGTGCTGATCCACTTGCTCGACTTTGGGTCTGGTATGCTTTCAGAAAAATGGTACCAATAAACTTGCTTAATACAGAATTGCCACAACCTTCCTTCAATTTCTTAAAAAAAATAATTGCAGTATCTGTAAAGCTCAATAAACTGAAGCATAATAAAATGAGGTATGCCTGTATTTTGCTAGGGCTATTGAATTTTATGATTACATATGTACCAAAGCATTACATTTGGTGCTTATGCTTTTTATTGAAGCACAAAATTCCTGCTTGCAGGAGTATGGAAAGGAAAAAAAAATGTTATGGATCAGTATACAGGGCATTACTTGAAAATGAAGTTGTGGAATAGTCTCATGCTTAATCTATTATAATCTGCTGCACTATTATGACAATGTTTGTAGATTCCCCCCCCCCATTGAGTTTACATGCTCAGATCGTCAATCTTTTATCTATTCTTATCTCAGATGTGCTGTTTGTTTCTAGGACCATGGGTCACAAAAACCGGTATGTCAAAGTCCCACGGGGTCACATCTGGGTTGAAGGTGATCATCATGGACACAGTTTTGACAGTAATTCTTTTGGGCCGGTAAGTCATCTTTTTGATGATACAGTTGCATTTTGGAATTGGGAGCAAAGTCAAGACCAAGAGATGGTTCAGGTAATTCCCTGTGATTTTAGGGTGAAACGTTTTATATTTGAAATTTCTTTCCAAATATGTGTAGATAAATTATCAAAATGTGTGTTTCACATGTACAGTTTGAAGGAAACGAACTTGGACCTAAAGATGTTTTCCATTCGTTGCAATAGGATGGTCTTGTTTCTCCCACAAGAGATATTTTATAGCTTGTGTTTTGAGTTAGTCTTAAATAGACTTAATATGTGAGTGTCTATGGTTATCTGTCTTCTAAATGAAACTCTAATGGAAATTTTGGAATTGGCAAGTCATGTTTTTAAGCATTTAAACAAAAAACTGTAGACATCCTTTACTCTGTGTTTATTCTCCATAAAATAGATGACTAAGCAGGTAATTTGTAGGCTTTGTTCACTATGAATACCCAAGAAATTATCTACTTCTGAGAAACTTCTAAAACTCAAACTCAGTATAAAGTGAGGGGGTCTGTTAGCTGATAGCAGCTGCACCTGATATTTTATTACCTAAAGGGACTTCGGAGAGCTGGACAGTGAATAGGGATGATAGAAAGAGAATTGATGCCTTTGAGCTGTGGTGCTGGAGAAGAGTGTTGAATATACTGTGGACTGCTAGGAGAACAACAGGTTTGTCCTGGAGAGGGTGAAGGCAGAATGCTCCTTGGAGTCAAGGATTCTGAAGCTTCGTCTGACATACTTTGGGCATGTTGCAAGGAGGGACTGGTCCTTGGAGAGGGACATCATGTTTGGGAGAGTGGTGGGACGGTGCAGGAGAGGAAGACCCTCGATGAGATGGGTTAATTCTGTGATTGGAGTGGTGGGAATGAGTGTGTTTGAAACGGCGAGGTTGGCCCAGGATAGAATGGCATTTAGGGCTCTTGTACATAGGGTTGCTATGATTCGCAAGCAATTCGATGGCACATAACAACAACAGCAAAGGGGCTTCAGGACTTTTGTTGATAGGGTCGCTATGAGTCGTGCTCAACTCAAAAGCAATCAACAACAACAACGTACTTGTTTAAAGTTTGGATCTGCACCAATTACACATTCATAAAGCTGAGATGTTAGTGTTTCTCTAAATGTTGAGAACCTTCTGTTATTTATTAAAATTTATTTACATAGTATTTGTTTAAAATTAAGTGTGTAAGGTCTCTATTGAAATGGGACTATTTATGACCACTAAAGTAACAGACACTTTAGTTCTCACTGACTGAAAAAACAATGTTAGAGCAAAAATGCTATGGATTAAAAGAAGAAAATTGTAGGGAGGCCCTAGTCTTTATCTCTAGTTGCAATGATGAGAAGTTTGTAAGGCCTTTACTAGCTTTTAAATGAGAATTATTACAAAAATACAATTTATTTCCTGTAGGATGTACCAAAAATGAGACCCATATGTTAGAAATATTTTAGGTCACTTATAGTGGAGCAGAAATTACTGTTAATAAATAAATTTAGCTGTTGTTATTATGTTCCGTTAAGTCACCTGCAACTCATAGCTACCCTATGTATAACAGCCCTAAACCCTGCTCTACCCTGTGCCAAGTTTATTATCTCTGACACACTTACCCTATTACCCCAGTCACTGAATCAATCCATCTCATCGAGCGTCTTCCTGTCCTGCACTGTCCCTCCACCCTCCCAAGCATGATACCCCTCTCCAGGGACCAGTCCCTCCTTGCAACATGTCCAAAGTATGTCAGAGGAAGCTTAAGAATCCTTGACTCCAAGGAGCAGCCTGATCCTTTGATCAGTAACATTGAGTAAAAAATATTAAATAAGATGTATCATGTTTTTACGCGAGTCCACATTAAAATGTTCGCTTGCTTTGGTTTAACTTTGAATTTGTCAGGAGAGCCGTTCTGAAATGAAGTGCTAGAATAGCCTGTGGCTGGCAGAGAATTAGTTACTAAATAATAAAATACTAACATCTGAGATCGATTTGCTGTGTCTTTGTGATTAAATTAGAGCCAGTGTGATGGTCTGCATGTAATTAATATTGTTCTCATTCACTTGTACTCTGTACGCGTTCTCATTTGGGAAAGAACATGCCAGTTGGCAGCCGTGATGCTGGGAGTTGTACACCATCCTCTGTGTACCATTAATGTTGTGTATCATTTCTACTGAGCTCTTGCTGGGCTCCTTTTCCTGCCCTATATTAATACAGAACTGCGAGCGGTCCATGAAAGTGATGAAAAATTAAAATCTTTTGTCACTTTTATCTTTAAATAAAGTAAAGCTCATGTATGTGTTGTTAAGTGCCATCAAGTCAACTCGACTTACAGCGACCCTACAGACAACAGCTCTGAAACCTGCTCTGTCTTGAGCCAATTTCACTGTCTTAGACACATCTACCCCCATTATCCTAGTAGTGACTCAATCCATCTCATTCAGGACCTTCCTCTCTTACACTCTGCCTCCAACCTCCTAAGCATGATGTCCCTTTCCAAAGACTGGTCCATTCTTGCAACATGCCCAAAGTATGTCAGATGGAGCTTCAAAATCCTAGCCTCTTAGAAGCCTGGTTTCACCTTCTAGGATGGATTTTTTTTCTTTGCAGTACGTGGTATGTTCAGTACTCTTCTACAGCACCACAACCCAAAGGCACCAATTGTTCTTCTATCATCATTAGATATTCCCTAGCTCTCTGATGCATGGCAAGTAATTGTGAAGATCATGACCTGGATTCAGAGCACCTTATGTCTCTAGACTGACATCATTGCTTTTCAGTACTGTGGAGAAAGACTGATTTTGCCAATGCAATTCATCTTTTGATTTTCTGACTATTGGTACCAAGAGTGTTGATTGTGGAGC